TTAATGAGTTTGGCTGTTTAAATTTCCCTTCTGTGGACTCTCCAGCTCTCCACCTTAACAGACCTACCAGCACACAAGTTGATGGCATCTCTACCTATAGGAATTTCACTGGTAGACAATTGGATTTCACCTAACTGGAAGGACTCTGCTGGTGGTGTCTTTGATTTGTAAACCATGTCACAATGGATCATCTGCTTTAAAAGAACTCCCTTCATCACAAGGTAAAACCCTTCTGGTGTTCTGGAACTGATGGAACAAATATCTGAGACACTACAATACTTTAGTATATAGTAGTTTATACTCTAAGCCAGGGGTCGGCAACCCCCGGCACGCGTGCCCAGCCTGGCACGCAAGCCCTTGTCTGATGGCACGCGAACTTACTCTTTACTAATAACCACTGGAGGTTATGAATATTTAGGATCATTGCACCCTTTTGGTGCTTAGCTTTCCTAAGACTTGTCTTTCTCATCCACAGATTTTGGGACTCTATTGAGTCCCCCCTCCTTTTCTTCCTAGCCTCCCCATTGTGGAATGCCTAATATATTCTCACTGAGAAAGAGCCAGTGTCCTGGATTCTGGCAGTTCCTGTTACACTAAGGGGTCTATTCACTAAGCTGCCTACGGCAGCCGAGTGAAAGACCAATCTGAAGTGAAGTGAGCTGAGCGCTGTTCGGCTATTCACTTCAGGCTGGTACAGCTGACATCAGCCATATATCGGCTGAGATCAGCCGTACATCGGGTGGCTTCACGTGGCTTCTACAAGTACAAAATATTTTTTTTAAAGCCAGGAAAATATTTACTTGGTTCGCTGCTGTATAGAAAATGTTGTGTCTATGTCAGCATTCCGTAATTTACTTTAGATCAGACATGGTAAACGTGTTTATATAGGCCCTGTGCAGCCTTCTTACTACAATTTTGCTGACCATATCTGGTTTAAGGATTTAAATTGTATGATGCCCCAGCTGTTCTCCATTTGATAGAGGCTAGAATTCCTTACATAATTCTGCAGCTACATACTTCCAAAAATGTTTTATGATACCTTTCTATTGGTTAAAATGTTGTAAGTTGTAAATTCTTAATTGAAGTAGTAATAGTTGATATAATGAAGCCTTCCTAAAGCGTGTATCTGAAATAAATGTTTTTTGTTCTAGAAGGGTTCAACCCTCTGCCAGGTTTTTATTGCTTTATGTGTCCCTGCTGGGGAGATATACCTCTCTGTTTGTCTAGGTGATCATTGTCGCCGAGGCAGAAAGTAAAGAAAAAAATCCACATTTTAGAACTGTCATGAGAGCAAGACAAATGTTCTGGTGAGAAATGTTTGGGATGGGAATTCCCCTCACTTTGGGGAGATCTCTTTTCACTTCATGTTGCATCCCCAGGCTGGAATTGAAGGGAAATCTCCCTAGCAGGACAGTGAGAGGAAAAATAACCTGATAGCGATCCTGATCCTTTCCCATTATATCCAAAATTAAGAAACATTTTGACTATGCCTACACTTTAAAGTTTTATTACACTTAATTCAGCCAACCATTGCATTTGAGTTTGGCATGCCTGCTTTAGACCCTTGGTTCCCAATTGGTGGTTCGTGACCCAAAAGTGGGTTGCGACCCCGTGTTCAGTGGGTCAACGTGTGCCTTCCACTTTTCTAGGTGAGAGGCTCTCAACACTGTCAGTTCTTGTGCCAAGCAGCCATTCAAATTATGCTGCCCGATGCAGAGTGTCTGCTTGGGGTGGGGTGGGCTGGGGGTATGGCCATGAGGGAGCTCCATCCATACATACAACTCACTTGCGTGCCCTGTAGAGGTGCCTAGACCGTAGTAATGTAACAATCTGGCTCCCGACACCTCTACAGGGCACGCAAGGGAGCTGTACAAGCAATGTACATATGGATGGAGCTCTGTCACAGCACAGCAGCCCACACTGGAACCCAGGCTGAGCCTCCACTCCAGTTCTCGTAAAGGTATGGAGACTGGGTGGATCTTTTGAATAGCATCCCGAACACATCTCCCACCCACAGTTTGATCACCTGCACCGGAATGAGCGGTACCGCAATATTGTGCGTTCCATTGCAGTGTGACTTGGACCGCGGCTTAATAACCAAAGACAAATGTGGGTCCTGAGGTTATACAGGTTGAGAACCACTGGTTTAGACCATTTGGGAGCACATTTTTAGTAAAGTACAATGCATATAGCCTTTCATTCAATGGATACAGCCTTCCATTTGCTAATGTATTCTTCTTAGTGCGCATGTGCATCACATTTCAGAGAAAAGACTGAGCAGGGCCTCACAGTGAGGGTTGCTCGAACAAGGAAAAAAGTATGTATGTAATCAGATGGGCTACACTCAGGGGGAACTTGTACTAAAGGTAGAGTTGTCCTTTAAAGAAACAAATGTATCCTATTTGCAAAATGTTTCTTTTCACTGCCCTTTTTTTTTTTTGAATTGTCACAAAAGTGTGCAGTAAACATGCTAGTTACATCTATATTTTTATATATAATTTTTTTCTCTTTTTTAATCAAAGTGATCCTGTGAGCCTCTAGCCTTCTATGTAGACTGAGTATCTAAGTATTTGGTTATATGCCTGACATTGTTATTTGGGTACAGATTCCCCATATGTCTGCCTGCTGTCTAAACAGTACATTCCATCCTTCTATCAAAGCACTCTCTATCCCAAGTCTAAGCTATATGATACAGGATTATAGACTAGAGGGAGCACTTGTTTGGATAGCAGCTTTTTAAGTCCATACATGTGAGAACCTGAACCTTTAGGAAGGAACAGATCAGGCTCTTGGACAAGCTTCTGTCCACCTAACAAGTACATACTTTTCCATGCATGCCGGGTGACCTTCCCATTGCTGTCTTTTTGGCAGTAATTGAATATATATA